AAAAGACAAGCCCCGCGATCCAGTGAGCGACTGTGAGTTGAACAGTCAAGTATGTGGGTGACTGGGTCGCTACAGGTGCAGCCGAGGTTTGTAGGACGCAGTTGAATTGAATTCGGGTCTTGACCGAGCGTGTTGGAATCTGGCCTGTTTCTTGTCGTTTAATCCAAAACGATATCTAGCCCAGACTTTTCCTGCACAGTGCGTAGGTTTGAAGTGACCCCGGTCAAGGCGCTGTGTGAAGTGACGAGCGCCGGCATGCTGCTGTCATCGTTCCGCATACATATATAAGTCTACGTTGAGAGTGAGGATGCGCTTGCACTGATTGTCTTAGGATAAGATTCCAATAATCTTGGTTAGTCGTGGGGCGAATGTTCATGACATAATCAGAACTGGAGTGAAACAGTGGGTGTGCATGCGTTAAACAGATTATGTGAGTGGATGAAGGTAAACAATGATGAGATAACAACCGAACTGTGAAAGCGGTTGAAGATAAACGTTGACGGGATGGTAACCAACAATTACAGTAGAGGTGTCGTCAACATAACGCCAAAAAATTTTCGGCGATCGGTGATATCCGGCCAAGGCCATTTGTTCGAATTCCTCCATATAAGTATTTGCTAAAGGTATTTGCAATACCTTGTTCTTGTGAGTAAGCAGCTGTGTCAAAAACAAACGGGTCGAAATTCAAACACACGATTATTCCCCCAACTATTTCATCCACTATGTCTGTTTCTCAAGTGTCGTACCCATCAGTAACATCCTCCTGGTTACCGCCGTTGAGATTACGTCAAATTTCACGGGGACTTCATCTATCTTGACCTTATCGGCAAAGTTGTACGAATTCCCGATGAACGTGCTTGATTTCCACGTGGGTGGTTTGAGCGTACCAGCTAAGAATCTGGTTAGCTCATGTGCTGGTGAGCATATGCCATCCACCATTGGCCTTACCGGAACATCTGCTTTGTGGATTTTTGGCAGTCCGTAGAGTCGTGATTGAATCGTACTTTTTCGATACCCTAAATGGTTTATTATGGATCCTAAGTGTCTACCAACTCAAACCTTATTCCTATTCATTACTGAAGTAATACCGGTAATTTGTCGGTAGGGTCCATCCGCGAGATGTTGCCTGACCTTTTGTTCTTGTTCATTACTACCGCGGCTTTACCTTTATCGGCCTTGGTAATGGCAATACTATCTACCTGTCTCAGTGCGTTAAACGCTCTCCAGTCTGATGGTTCAATATTCGGAGCTCCCGGCTGCTGGGATTTTAGGACCGTGACCAATTGTACTCGTAGCTTCTCAGCTTCCGCTGAATGAAGCTTTTGAAACACCGACTCTACACTAGCAAATCTTTCCTCCGCTCACATCGAAATTTAGTCCCTTTTCTAACAGACAGCGTTCGTCTTCACTCAGTGGTCTTTCTGACAAGTCAACTACACTACAGTAATTGGTGGATGGTTTCTTCGTTTATGTGATCTTTATGGGGCCCTGAGTCATGGAAAGCAGTTGTTCGAACTTACGTATCTGCCTATCCTTGCATTGCGACCCTGCGTAAGCATCTGGAAATCGGCGGGTGAGATTGCGATCTGAAGATCTTGGCTGAGTTGACTGGTGTGGTAGGGAAATCCTCTGTTTGAGGAATGACTTGGCCGCTGACAAAGCAATTTCAGCAGAAGCAACTGACGTATCCAGTGGCTTCATAATCATCATCAAAGACAGCAACATCAGTCTTGGCACTGATGCTTCACTGCCGTACAACCATAAGGCTCGTCTACTTATATATATATATATATATATATA